GAAAAAAAAAAGGCTACGAAAACGGCACGCAGTCCCGGATTCGAATTTCGAAATTCGAATTCCCGTAAGCGAATGACGGCAGCGTGGGTGTCCCTTACGGCTGACAGCAGCAACGTTCGTCGGCGGGACCGTTTTGGTACGGGGTGGCGGCTGCGTGGCTTCTGCTGCATGCCGAACGTCCATGAATACGCCCGAAGCAGCAGGCCCACCGTCACACGATCGCCGCCGTTGTCTACTTCGCTACACGCATCTTCGCCGTCGACGTGTACGCCGTACAGTCCGGTTGTCACGACGCAGCATCGCTGGTGTTCCCACTGAAGTCGAGCCTTCTTCACTTGGCAACGACGAGCGATGGACGTGAACGGGGACGTGGTCCATGACACACTCAGCAAGGCGGAGAGGGCGGTTGTGGCAGCGACCGTGAACCTGATACTCATCAGGTGTCAATTGCAGAGGATCGAGGGGAGGATGAGAGCAGCCATTCGCGCACGCCGGAAGAAGACGCTGCAGTCCATGCATGTGGACGAAGAGGGCAGTGGTGCCATTTGCGACGCCGTCCTGCAGGTGTGCTATGCCATGGGGTGTGGAGCATTTCCTAGAGCGACGCCCAGGTGGTGGATGAAGCGACGAACAGGGGGGGTGTGGGAGGATCTGCGGCAATGCGACGACGCGACGGAAGACTACTTCAAGGAGAAGCTGCGCATATCGCCACGGGTGTTCCGGGAGATAGCGGAAGCTCTGTCTCCCTTCCTTCAACGGCGTGTCACTTTCTATAGGGAGCCCCCCCAGCCTGACCTCATTGTAGCGTACGCTTTGTACAGATGGGCGTCGGGGGAGACGTACGAGAGCGGGACATGCAGCTTCGGCATTGGCGGAAAGTCTGGGTTGGTGGCTGTGCGGGATGTAACTTCGACGTTCCTGAGTGCGTACCCCGACAAGATATCGTGGCCAACGGGGCTGCAAAAGGCGGTCGTCTTGCGCGCTTTCGCTGACAAGGGTTTCCCCAACTGCCATGGCTGCATCGATCGTACCCTCATCTTCATCGACAAGCCAGCCAATTGCCCCGGGGAGGACTACTACGACAGAAAACGTCGTTTCTCCATCCAGGCTCAGGTGGTCGTCGATCTCAACTTGCGCGTGCTGGATGTGTTCGTCGGATATCAGGGGAGTTGCCACGACGTGAGGATCCACCTGTCCAGTTTATGGGCGCGCGCGGAGGCAGGGAAGCTTTTCACTTGGCCACCTGTCATGCTGCCTTTCGGTGTGCGGACGAACGGGTATCTGCTGGGCGACAACGGTTACCCCCCCTCCGAATGGGTAGTCATCCCCTGCGGCGGTCTATCACAACACCCGTCGGAGATGCGGTTCGACAACAAGCAGAAGACGGCAAGGGGAGCAGTCGAGAGGGCTTTCGGCAGATTGAAGGGGATGTGGAGGTTGTTCCTTCGCTCCCACAAGACGAACATGGAGATGTTGCCGCAGCAATTCGTCGCCGTCTGCATTCTGCACAACATACTCATCGACGCGGGCATCCCATTCGACGACAATCTACTGTGGGAGGTTGGGCCAGACGGTGTTCGTCGCAAGGTGGATCTTGGGATGCACTGACCGTTGAGGCAGATGTGTATGGAGTCGTCGACGGGGGATGCGCTGATCCTGCGGGATGCACTAGCGGAGCGAATGGGTACGCAGTGAAGACGGCGAGTCGTTGGGAGCGGGCGGCATGCAGCCGCACAGAGAGAGAGAGAGAGAGAGAGAGAGAGAGAGAGAGAGAGAGAGAGAGAGAGAGAGAGAGAGAGAGAGAGAGAGAGAGAGAGAGAGA